TTTCGCGCATTGGAACATGTCGCACGCAACGAATGTGAGTTCGATCGGACGTGATGTGTTAGTTAAATGGATCAAAGCTCGGATATCCGCTCTTGATCGGAGCCGCGATGCTCGCACGAGAATCACTTTCATATATTCGCGTCGAATCGCGGATTCGTAGAGACTCATAAATACCGCGCACGACCGCTCGTGTGACGACCGCGTTTTCGCGTGCAGGTACCGTGACGGCGATATTTGCTTGGCACTCGACGATACGGAGAATGCAGATAAACCGAGAGAGAGATCGCTCACCAGCCTGCTTGTTTGTAGAAGAGAGAACCGAAGTTTTACCTCGCGCAATTGCGAGGTAACCATCTCCTTGACTATTTCCAATTTTATTTTTCTCTTTGTTTAAGATTCATGGATAAATTTACATGTAAGGCAGTTGTGAGAGATGGAAATGAGCACACGATGTTAGAAGTGCTCCAAGAAAAAAAATTCATAGGCTTATACTTATTTTCAAATTGCTAAGGCTCGATTCTACCAATAAAAAAAATCAAACATTAAAATTAATTTTACATTGAATTTTGGATAAAATTTTAATCACGGTTTAATTTACTTTTTATTTTTTTTTTTCTGATTCTGAGAATTAATAAAATTGTAATCTTGAGTATTAAATTTTAATCTCGAATCAATTTATTCTTTTCTAATTTTTAGTGTTATGTGTATGCATCAAAAACTTGGACCCGACACACAAAATTATGCGACACACAAATACGAATGAACGTGTATCTTATTCATGTTTGCGATCATGTGGTGTATCAGAAAAAATTTTGGCGTCTCTTGCATTCCCGCAGCTGCTAATCTCTCATCGTAAAGGTTCCGCGGTTTTTTTGATCGCCGTCAAAGGAGGCCGTTCTAGTGACCACATCATGATCGACGAGGAAAATAAAAATCGGATATTTTCAGAAAACGAATTTGAGATGGTGGAGAATCGCCGAACCGATTTAATCTTCTCGCAACCACGATATCGAGTGTGTGATTCCGAGTCTTCTCTATTCGTGCGCGTCCACTAACGCCATTTTTTGTACTTATATTATCGTGCCTAATGCAGTTGTAATAATTTTATAATAATATAATAAACCTTGTATTCCCTCAAAAAAACGCTGTAAGTGCTCATTATAAAAACACAACTACAGTGGAAGAATTCATGTTCTTGTGCTGACGTACATATACTGTGTACTCGACACTTAAAATAAATTTTGGATAAAATTTGAATGAATCTTGGATAAAATATTTTTTTGGATAACATTTTAAACTTGGTTCAATTTATTCTTTATCTTTTTCTAATTCTAAGAGTTAGAAAATAATAAGTTAAATCATGATTAAATATAATCTTACATTGATGAAACTAGGTTTAAATGATGTTCTCTTGACAATAATCTGCTATGGAAGCTTGCCTTTGTGTTGTAATTCCGAATTTCTATTTTCCATTAATTCCCATCGGTTCTATAATCTGTTAATCTATTTCAAAGAAGATTCCTCCAGAATATCCCATCCCCGTAAGAGTCATTTACTCCACGTGCTCGGAGCTTAGTGGTCTCGTTGGCAAGCGGAGCAGGGTTTATCGATCTCCTGTGCGCACACGAGCTGCAGCATTTTCATCGCCTGCCGGTATCATCTTTCGCAATATGGCGTTATATGGCGCGCTATAATTACGGACGTTTTACGACGCTTTCGGCCGATACCAGGACGCCGCCCCGCGTGCGCACTTTACGAGTCGTACATGTTGTTTAGTGTACGCACAGAGAGCTGCTGGATGGCACACGTGGAGCACCACTCAACGACGACGGCGGCGGAGATTGGCGGGGGTGGTTGACTGGCTGGCTAGAGGCGGAGACGAGGTTGAGTGAGGTCAGGGCGGATGAAAAGTCCCTGACCTGGTCTTACCTACGCTACGTCTTTTTCTCTCATCTCTCTCTCACTCACTCCCTCCCTCACTCACTCACTCACTATCTCCTCTCCCTCTCTTTTTCTCTCTCTGCCTCTCTCTCCTTTTCTCTCTTGCGTTTATGTTACCGCAAACTTCGTGGAAGTGGTACCTTGGGGTTTAATTAATGAGGCACGTCAATGTCCTGTCGTGCGTTTGGGACGAAACCCTATCGTAGGATGATTCAGAAGAAAAGACTAATGCTTTGAGAGATATGTGTTTTTGTAGCAATTTTTATTATTTAAAAATTATAAATGAATAAAACAGAAGGAAAGCGGCAAATATAAATATAGCGCGGTTTAATTAATGCTTGAATAAAATATTAAATAATTAAATAATTAGAAATAAATTAGAAATAAATTTTGACTTTTTAAAAAAATTCATCCATCTCTCACAATTGGCGTTTAAAATTAAGATATTAATATATTATCTTGTGTGAATCCATTTAAAGAAATGTCATAAAAAAACATGACTGTAATACTTGGAATAATGTTAATGAACATATGTTTCATTGTAAAAAAAGAAAATTAAGAATATTACTTATTTCTATAAAAATATTTCTTACATCGTTCGCGCTTTTTTATTTATTTCAGTTATAATTGTTTGTTTAATTGTTATAATTATATTCGTTTTTATTTAACGATGATGGTTCACTAATCGCCTCATTATAAAGTCGCACTATAGTCGTTCTCTCGACAATCATTCCTGTCGTCGATACCATTATTTTCACGTGAGTACGTGGAAGAATTACGCACACCAGGTTGCTCCTTTCCGAAATTCCTGCTCAAACGCATCGCATTGAGCGCCTTCATTACAAGTGCGATTGGCGCGAAAAAGTCTTCCGGCGCTAACAAGCGGACGTGATTTATAGCTGCACTCATTAATCACGTTAAGTTTCTCCCTCTTGGCGCACTAACCCTGCGCCGTTCGCCGACCTTCTTATTAAACCGCGATTCGATCTCATTGTCTTTAACGGACAAAGGCGAAACGCGTGGTTGTTCGCCGAGCGCGAGGTATGGCAAGAACAGCGATCGTATTATTGCGCACGTACAACAAACGTGATTCATATTAGCGCGCGCTACACGCTAATTATCAGTCGAACACTGTATGTCGTAAACTCGGCAGCCGCCTGTTTCTCGACACATTAATTTTTGTTAATTGCCCGTGCAATCAGTGCACGACTGGAAAATGTATGTACAGAGTGTTCCAAAATTTCGAATCAAAATATTACAATAAGAAATTTTTCAAAAAATTCAGTAAAAAGTTATAAACAATATATATTAAAAACCGATAAGAATAAATCTAAATAAATACAAGAAATATCTATTTTTGATCGAAGCGGATCTTACTATTTAAATATATGTATTTCTATGTGATTTATATTGGTACATTCTGATTCTGCGTTTATATATTTTTGTAAATAATTTTTTATTTAAATTTTTATAATTTTTATCAATTTTTATGCAGACATATAGTTACATAATACACAAATATTAAATATTATTAAATATTGATATATAATATGTGCACTGAA